CAGATCGAAGCCCCCAGGCCTTGAGTTTGACACCCTTGTTGTAAGTCAAGACCTCGTACTTGTAGAGGTGAGAGCTTCCGCACCAGAGTCAAATTCCTTGCGTGTGTGTCTAAATCACCCTTGTGTCGATTAGCGTTCCACTGGGTTCCGTTCTGTGCTAAGAGGCTCCGTGTCCCTTGCAGGGACCAGCTGCAGACGGTCGAGCAGCAGCACAGGGTGCAGAAACAGATCACGCAAACCTTTGAACTGGAGATACTACGCCTGTACAGTTGCCTGGATAGCGACCGCTTGCAGAAGAAACAGGAGGACGACAAAATGGAAACAGCAGAAATGGCTGAAGAAAGGTAAACACCTCCCTCCCCGCAACCCTGACACCCCTCTCTCTTTCTGGCTTCTTGCTGATCCAAATGGTCAGCCTTGAGCCGGTCAGGATCGAACTCCTGACAGTGGAATGCAGAATTTGCCTGCAATACTGCATCCTAACCACTGCGCCACCACAATTCTTACATAACGGTAGATGATGGATGGGATACGATAAGATGAAAATAAGATAGAGATAAGAGGAAGGTAAGATAAGGAAGATAAAGGTTTTAGCAATAGCACTTATGTACCATTTCCCGGTGCTTTCCAGCGCTCTAAGCGGTTTACAGAGTCAGGCTTTTGACCCCAAGAATCGGGGTCCTCATTTTACCGACCTCGGAAGGCGGAGTCAAACCTCGAGCCGGTCAGGATCAAACTGCTGGCAGAACGCAGAGCTTAGCCCGCAGTGCCGCCATCCTCACCCGCTGCTTGTCCTCCTTCCCCACAGGCTCTCGGGGCCGAATGAAGGCCCCTGTCATCCGGTTGCTGGATGCGGCGAAGAAATGCTGGCCAGGAACGGGGCGGCCAACTCTTCGGGCCCCCAGACTCACCGTAGCAGCAGCAGCAACAGCAGCGGCAGCAGCAGCAAAGGCAACAGCAGCGGATCCAGTCCGGAAAAGGCCCTCGGCGAACGCGGCGGACAGTTCAGCAACAGCTGCTGGGAGGCCTCTGCACGGCAGGCGCCTCCTGCCCCCCGCAGCCGACTGACGGTGGGTTCCTTCCCAAGTTCGGAGAGCTTCCTGGGCATGAAAGCCCGCGAACTCTTCCGCAACAAGAGCGAGAGCCAGTGCGAAGAAGACAGGGGGCCCCTCCAGAGCCTCTGCGGCACGCTAAAGACTGAGTTGTGCAAGGGGCCCGGCCTAGAAGCCCCGGGGGCCCCACCCCTGTCCCCGGGCCCCGCGGAACCCACGCCCTCCCCCCGAAATCAAGAAAGCAGCGTCGAATCGCTCCACATAATGGACTACAACGAATCCCTTCACGGTCACAGCTAAGCCGGGAGAGCGCGCGGGGGCGGCGGGAGGGGGCGGGGAGGATGGGAGGGAAAGAAAGAAAGACAAAAAGACAAAAAAAAAAAAGAAATCAGTGTTAACTTTTCCTAATCTTGGAGAGGGAGGGAGAGGCACCCCAGGAGCGCGTGTGTCTTTTAAACGAGAAGCTTTCCCCCTTTCGTTCTAGAGCCCCGCCGAGGGTGTTCCGGCTCCCTTCGGCCTCCCGCCAAACGAACTTTTGTGCAATAGGTTAGCGGGCCTCGTTGAGCAGATCGGGAGGGGGGGGGGGAGGGGGGGGGGGCGGGTGGACTGCGCCCCCGCCGGTCCTCGAAACGGGGTCGGTAGCCATCTTGCTCCCCTCCTCACCCCTTTTTGCAGGTGACGGTTCTCCCTTCCAGCCCCCCCAAAATAAGATTATTATTATTATTATTATTTTTAAAAAGGGCCCAATACTCTCAGCCCTGCTGGACTCTGCTCTGATGTTAATGTGGTTTTAAATCCTACCTTTAGGATTTCGATCTGCATTCCCCACCCCCCCCCCCCCTTCCCTTTCGAAACGACCCCTGCTCCCTCACACACACACGCACACCAAAGTGGTTCCCATTTTTCTGTGTGTGGAGGATATAATTTTTTTGGGTGAGGGGAAGAGCGGCTCCTTGCTTTTGGGAAGCCGCCCCGGCTCCTCTCGAAACCCTATTTCTCTTTACGCTTCATTCTCTTCAGCTCCGTTTCTCCCCAGTCGGATAAGGTGATCCTGGCCTGGGTTGAGCTCTGTTAAATGGAAAGGAAGAAACGGCCTCCCGTCGATGGGTGAGTGTTTTATAATAGGAGGAGATTTATGGCAGGGGGGAAAAAATATCCATTCTTTCCCCTGTGCGTCTCCTCCCTACGAGGAGAATCTCCTTTGCCGGGGTTTTCTCTTCCACAGGCGGCCTTGGGGAGGCCCTTTTCGTCAGAGAAAGCTAAGGGTCCCCCCAAAATTGCCGTCTCTTGCTCTCTTTTTTTCCTCTTTCTCCTTCTTCCTCCTCCAGTGGTACTTTGAACATTTCTTAAACCAAACCTTTCTTTAAATAAAAAATAAAAAAAGATGCCCCTTTCTTCAGCCCTTCCTCAAGGTTTCCCCAAACAAGGCGCTCAGTTTAAATAGATGTTGTTTGAGCGGAAAAACAGGGCAAGCATTCAGTGGGGTTTAATGATGCTGTCTTCAGGCGAGCTGTGCGAGGCCAGGCTGGCAGAGTGTCAGGGAAAATGGCGATCTGCCTTATTCCATCCTTTCCAGCTTTATTATTATTATTTTTATGGATGGGCCGAAGGCAAGTAGCTGATGGGGACTGTAGCGTTGTCCAAGTACGGGCTCAGAGAGTTAAGTGGCAGCAATTTTAGGGAATGCAGACGCCTTGTGGCATCTCTAAAGCAGGGGCTCTCCAGATTTGGCCACTCTTAAAAGACTTCTGGATTCCCAACTCCCAGAATTCCCCAGCGAAGCCAGTTCAGCCCAGCCCAGTTCCCCAACCTCTTTATTCCCCAGGTGTTCTACCTGGAATAGCCCCCACCCCCACCCCGTCTTTGTGAACACTTGGTACGGTCCTTCCCACCTGGCAGGTGTGTGTGTGTGTGTGTGTCTCCAGACCGGCAACTTGACTTCCAACTCCCAGCCATGCTGAGGAATTCTGGGAGTTTGAAATCCCATCAGTTTGCGGAGACCCCCAAAACTCTCCTAGATGGATTTGCAGATCCACCAGGTCACCGACAAGAAAGAGGCTGACTTTTTTTTCACTCCCGCAACCCTGTTTCTTCATTTTAGCGATCCGGGTTTGGACGTCACCTTCCCGAGTGTCTCTCGGGAAGGAAACGCCTTTCTTAAAGCGTCCATCAAAAGGGCCTCTTTTGTTTCCAGTGGTCGACATAATCCCCTCTTTTCCCTCCGAGGTTAGAACCCGATTCCTTCTTCGTTGGCTTTTAGAAAATACGCAGATGACCTTTGCGATGGAATTGCCCCATTCCTTCTTTTTTTTTTCCTTTTTTCCTCCTCCCCAGCAGGAAAAAGTGGAGGAACTAATTACTCTCCATATCCTCTTTATCTTTGAATCATGGATGTAGCGTACATAACGGAAGTTACTGTTTTTGGCTCCCTTTTTGTTTTTCTTTTTGCAAATTTGGGGAGGGAGGGGAGAAAAATTCTCATTAGGGAAGCTGAAAATAATCTTTTGTTTCCTTCCCCCCCCCCCCTTCAAGGAAAAAAAAAACGGGCCTCTTTTAGTTAAATCCTTTAAAAAAACAAAAGAACGAAAAACCCAGCTGTCTATAAAACACGAATGTTTCCTTCCTCTTTGTAAGCATGATTTAAAAATAAATAAATAAATAGACTTTTTTTTAAAAAGGGGGGGGTGTGGGAGGGAATGCCACAGCGATGATGAAGTGATGCTGCGAAATGGTACAATCGAAACTTAAACAAGACATTTCACAAGCAAAACTGAACCGAGGGGGTTTTGCTGGCCTGACTAGAATGTTCTAATACATCGAGGCAGTTGCTTGTGTTTAACTGTGAACAAATTAAAGAAAAAAATATTGTTTTTCATTCACCTTAGGGGTGAGAGGTGTTTCTTCCCCGCCCCCCCCCCGCCCCTCAGAATAAATCTGCTAATTGGGAGCCATCCTGTATATAACCATTTTGGGGAAAAAATTATAACAGGGTCACCAGGACAAACACTCCAGCAGGCCTGAGCGGAGAGAGGAAATTGAAAGATTTTTTTTTCAAGTATCGGCTTCGAATTTCCTGGGGAAAGGTTTTCAAAACCTGCTCCAGACGGGTGTGGAGAAGTTTAATTTAGCAATGGATGTCTGGAAGATTAAGTATAAAGAATGGTTGCAGGAACTGGCTCGTGTCTGATGGAAAGAAGGACTAGGGGTGAGGGGCTGCCCCAGAGAAGAGGAGGGGGTCAAGCTATTCTCCAAAGCCCCTCAGAAGGCAGGACAAGAAGCAACGGAGGGAAACTCATCAAGGAGAGAAACAACTTAGAATTAAGGAGGAATTTCCTGACAAGTTAGAACCATTAATCAGTGGAACGACTTGCCTCCAGAAGTTGTGGCTGCTCCATCACTGGAGGCTTTTAAGAAGAGACTGGCCGACACATTTGCCTGAAAGGGGATGGAGTCTCTTGCCTGATCAGGAGGGTTGACTAGAAGACCTCCGAGGCCCCTTCCAACTCCATCCTTCTCCTATTTCTGCTAACCCAGTTCAGGATATCGCTTCTGCATTACAGGCCAGCCTCAACTTAACCACCGCCGTTAGCAAGCGTTCAGTTGCAGCATCGCTGGAAAATGTGACTCGTGGCGGTTCTTCACACAACTCATTTACAGCCCATCCCCACAACCAGGTGGCCACAAGTTGGGTGCTCGGCAGGCAGCACGTGATTTATGAAGTTAATGGGGAGGGAAAGCTGGATTTCTTTTAACAACCGGGACTTTCACCTAACATCCATGGCAAAAAAAAAGGCGACCCCCATGGAATCGGGGATCGTTCGGTTCACTAGAGATAGGAAGGGATGTGATCCTGAAGGGAAAGATCCAAAAGTAATCCTTGGATCAACTCTTTCTCGGTAACGCACCTGCGGTGGGATCTGGAGACGCCAAGGGCTGAAAAGCACAATTTTTCTCTTTCTTTCTCCTTTATAAAAAGTTTTTGCTGTTTTCTCGTTTCGAGGTGGCGTCTCAAACTTTTCAAGTGGTTTGTGGCATTGGACCTGGCTAACAACGCAGGAGTGGAGTGTTAAAATCAGAATTTTTCAAACTTGGGCTTTTATGAAAGGTTTTTTTAAAAAAGGAGAGGGGGGGGATTTCACTTGGACCCAATTTTCCATCACTCGAACTTTGCCTCTTGATCAAACATTCCGGGATCTACTTTTCTAAAAAAAATTTTTTTAAACATATTTGGCGTTTTGTTTTTCTAGTTGAAAAAAAAAAATTATTTGAAACGCTGTTTTTAGAGGCTTTAGCCTCTAAAGGCCATTTTTCCCTATTCTGTTTGGCTGCGAAGGTGAATCTTACCCTCCTTCCCCCCCATCTCCTTAAAACCTGCCTTTAGAGGGATGAAAACTTGATGCCAACCACCTCTGGTTTGCAAAACTTAAAAAAACCAGGGATGGTTAAAACAAGATCCCACTTTAATGCCTGGAAACCTCGCTTGAAAAAGGTGTAGGAGTTGTTTACAGGCAGCTGAAAGAAATCTTGACAGATCTTCTTTTTTCTTTTTTGGGGAAGAGAAATCCAGCAAGATAACAAAAAGAGAAAAATAAATGGCCACCCTTGCTTTCTTGTGCTGAGCAGAATAGCCAGGGTAGTTCTATAAACACCACCATAAATAATAAACATTTTACGCCGCGGGAGCTGGAGGTGTGTGGGTTGAAAGAGCTCAATTATTCATTTTATTTTGAGACTGAAGAGAAGAAACACTCCAGCAATCCTTGGCATGTTTTGGCTTTCTAAGGTGTCAGTAGAAAGGGGGAAACGTGGTTTGTTTTTATTTATTTTTTTGAAAGAGTTTTTAAAAACCTTACCATACAGGTAGTTCTTGAGTTACAACCATTTGTTTTAAAAATTTGAAGGAAAAAAAAAAACAAAAGGCACTGACAGCCGGTCTTCAGTCTTCGCAACCGTTGCAGCGTTTCTACAAGCATGAAAATGTGGGCGCTGATTCGTATTTATGACGACTGTGGTGTCCTTTTACAACCTTCTGACAAGCCAAGCCAGATTTTTTTCACCGCTGTGTGACTAAATTAATACAGCAATTGGCTTAACCACCATAGGAGGAAAGGTGGTAAAATGGGGGTAAGAATGAACCGCTGTCTGGCTTAGCAGCAGAAATGTTGGGCAATTGGACATAACCGGTATTTTCTGATTAAGAAGATGCCGGAAATAAATAAATAACCATCCAGAATGCTTTGGAGGGAGCAAATTGGACATTTTTGGGAGAAAAAAAACGTCATGGTCTATATACCCATCCCCTAACTGGCTTAACCAGAAGGATTTTCATACTGGTTGTAAGTCAAGAAGGAAAACCTGGTTTTTTTCCCCCCCACCCAAAACTGCTCCGATACGACCAACCCACAGATCACTCCAAACCCATCCATGCTGTGGTTCAGCATCTCATACCAGGGCAAAATTGGGGTGGGTGGGGGTGGGGGCTGCCTGGGAAGGGTGGGGTGGGATGTTCCTACAGTGGCTTATCTAACTGGCCACGAACAATGTGATGGTGAACATTTTAGCCAAGAGCATTAAATGCAAGGGAAATGGCTTTATTCAGAAGCGTCTTCAGGTTGGAAGCAAAAAAAAAGGAAGGGCAGAGGTAGTTTAGGAACCCTGTGAGAAGGTGGAAGAAGAAGAAAAAGAAAAGGGAAAAAAAAACCACAATCAGACCCAAAAGAGCAGAATTGGGAGATCAAATATTGCACGGGTCTTTAAAAAAAAAAAAGTTTTTTAACAGTTTTCTGGCCCTGCGGTGGATATCCAGAAGAAAGAGTTTTCCAAATAGTTCAACTCCAGCTTCCAAATTGCATGTTAGTTCGGGTTGCAAATGCATAACCTTGGTTAGAAGGTTGCTTCTCAATTTTTTTAAAAAAAATGAACTGCAGTTTACATGTTCCAGGATCCAATCTTGAGTTGATCCTGGTGACCGACTCAGATTGGATCTTGCAATCGGAAGCTTCTTCAGCTCCCTGATCCCCAAAGGTCCTGATTTTAAGTATTTCTGCTCTGGGATCAGTTTGGAAAACCAGCAGGGGACAGACCCATACAAGGGATTGGCACTAGGGCTGCACATGGTTTTAATCGGGAATATGGCAGAGATTTGACCGGAAGGTAGAATCTGATCTAGCTGCCTTTTGGAACTGAAGAATCCAACTGGATTACCCAATCGAAGATGGCCTGATCAATTTCCCCGGCTACGGACAGGCTTCCAAAGTCAACAAGGTTGACTTGACTGGCACTCAAGGAACATGATGTTTGTTGACTCGATGGGATTCCACCAAGTCAACTGAGAATCTGGGCTGAATTAGACCACAAAACCCAACAAGGTTTTGACTGGTGGGTGAAATTTCTGATTCCCCCCCGCCTACAATCCAAAATAGAACCATCCATGGGAACGGGTCTTCCTAACTCCCCCACCCTCAAAAATAATAAGACGCCTCCGTTGACCCGTTGGCCAACGCAACCTTGAATTCAAGCTAGTGGGCTTAAGCGGCGATTCCGTTCAACGCTGCTTGGGTTTTACACCCGCCAAAAAAAGAGAAAAGAAATGCAAATCGGAGTAGGGTTGGGATCCAGCTGGGAGGTGGCTCGGGTAGGTCATCCTGCGATCTGGCGCTACCACCAGGATCTACCACCAAGCAGGTGGTGGGGAAAAAAAATGACCTGCGGTCACCACCGAGCATGGCCTCTCTTTTCTGCACCGTTCTCAGAAAAGGCCATCGCTGAAGCAGTTACAGGGAGACTAATTTTTAATTTCTAGACACCGTGCATGAGTGTGGGTTGTGCCGTTCTCCCGCCCCCTCCAGCTCACCCTCCTATATTTGGTGGGGTTTCAGAAAGCATTTTTACCAGGCGGTTTCCAGGGACCGTCGAGGAATTTTTGAATGGCTTGCCCAAGGCCACCCATCTGTTTTATTTTAGCCGCCCGCCTATTCTCCCGCTTCTGAGCCCTGTCCACCAAGCTGAGCTTGGTCTGGCAAGCCTCGGTGACGAAAGTGGGCCGGCCTGAGAGGTCAAAGCCCTTCTTGATCCGGGTTGGCAAGTTTATCTGCTGGAGGATGGCCGCTTTGCGGGCACTCACGCTCTGCAGCATGTTCCGGGGAAGCTTCTCCGTGTGAGCCACCCACTCCTTCATGCAGTCCAGGACGATGGGGATGAGGCTGACTACCCCGCCGTAATGGTTCCGGGCTTCGTCGCAGCTGAGATGGTTCACCACGTCGTGAGGGTATCTGAGGAGGTGGAAAGAATTGTATAGAGGAGAAGGGAGTTATAAGGAGGAAGAAGAGGAGGAAATAATTATGTGGAGGAGAAGGAGCTATAAGGAGAAGGAAGAAGAGAAGGAAAGAATTATATAGAGAAGGAGTTGGAAGGAGGAAAAGAGAAAAAGAATTATGTAGAGGAAAAAGTTATCATGAGAAGGAGGACAAAGAAGAAGAAAGAATTATTTAGAGAAGGAGGAAAAAGAGAAGGAAAGAATTATATAGAGAAGGAGTTATAGGGAGAAGAAAGGAGGAGCAGGAAGAAGTTCCTCAAACCCTGTGACAGCAAAGTGGAGGTGGGGGAGGGGGCATTTACACAAGTGTGGTCAGTCAGTGGATGACTTCCCCCAAAAGTAAGACCTGGTGCCCTTTTTTTGGTGGCCAAAAAAATATATAAGATGTGGTCTTATTTTCAGGGAAACACTGGTCGTTAAAATCTATAGGGAAGCTAACTGGACGGAGGCTGGGCTTGGAGAGGACAAAGAGGGACTATAGAGCCTTACTTAGCCCGGAGGCCACTGAGGTCGTTGCTGTGGCTGACGTACATCTTGCATTTCTCCAAGATGGCGTTGGTGGTGGCGTTTCCAGGGTGCAGGGACTCCAGCCGTTGGCAAAGCTTGTGCAGTTCACAGCAGATGTTGAGAAACATCAAGAGAATGCGCTTGTTGGTTGTGTTGTTGCAGTAGTGGTCCATGTAGGTCTGCACCTGTTGGACAAGCAGAGCGAGGACGGGGCAGAAGACGGGCAGTGTTCTGACCAAAGGCTTCCTGAGACACCAACAAACACATGTTAAATCCAAAACCCTTTTATTTTAGTTCAACGGCTGTGAATTATCGCCATTCACAGCCCGTAATGAGTCTCAACCAGCTATAAATAGTCCCATGGAAGTCTGCCAAAGCCCTTCAGGAGAAGCCTGATAAGGACGCACCTTTATCTTTCTTGAAGGGCTGCCAATGACTAAAGTACCAATTAGTCTTTCAAAACCAAACGGAGCACAAAATTCACCACGGAGCTTTCAGGTTCCAAACCGACCAGAGCGAACGACGTTGCTTCCTGCAAAGGCTCCTGTCCCTTTGCACTTCCTTTATCCCTTATGGGAGGGGCAATCACCTCCCAGCCTTACTCCCAAGTAGCCTCTTTTTGTCTCAGCTGCTCTTGCCTTCTAGCAGCACTTCAAGCGTTTCGCTTAGCAACAGAAAATTCTGGGCTTGGTTGTGGCCATTAAGTTGAAGGCTTACTTTTTCAGACTCTGCTTACACAATCTGGGACGCTTAACATCGTGTTGTGTACAATAAATAACACACATACACACACCCTTCTTTTATCATTTTGTCACCCAGAGCCAGAGGGAAATTCATTAACCAGGTTAGGCCTATTGAACGAAGGTAATAAGCCCGCCTCCAGCCAGCTTTGCAGTTTTCACGCTTTTGCCCCTTCGGGCAGCGGAGCGAAAAACCAGCACTTTTGCAAACAAAAACCCAACAACACCACAAACCCTCCCTGAGGCTAGTCATTATCTAGCGAGTTTTGGTCCCTGCCATCCCGTTTCCCCCCCCCCACACCCCCACCCCGAAAAGTCAGGAGGAAAGTTTTGAGGGTAAGATTATAATGGGGTGCAGAGGTTGCCGACTCCAATCCGAGACTGGCCGGCGTTGTGTTGCAAACCCGCAATCCTCCGTTGGCTGCTGGATGGGTCTCAGGTCAGCTGTTAGCAGGCAAGCTGGTTCTACACCGAAGCTGTTCCTGGTCGTTGCTGAGTTTAATTGGATCCCGGGGTGACCAACTCAGCAGGAAAAAAGAGAGAGAGAGAGAAAGAGGGAAGACACTTCACTTTTAAGTGGCCCCACCAGATTTCAAATCCTCTTTCCTGCCTTCTCTTGTGTTCGGACCCCTGATGGGGGAATGTAGTAGATCAAAATAAAATCTCTTTTCTTTCTTTCTCTCTCTCTCTCTCTCTCTCTCTCTGTGTGTCTTTGGATTGTGGTTGTGCTGGTGGTAGGTACACACACAAGGTTTGGGCTTCCTTTGCAGACAGTTGGGAGAAGGTGACGTGGGCCAGTCCCAACGGATTGTCCAGCCTGGGTTAGGATGAGTTCAGCTGCCGCAACAATTATTTTGTGCCTCTTTTGCAACTCGGCTTCTTTTTCGCCAGGATCCAGGCCTCAGAATTTATGGGATGGATGGATGGATAGGCAGGGAAGAGGAGAGGGATGGATGACAGACAGACAGAGAGGAGGTGGATGGATAGATGATAAGATAGATGAGATGGGTAGATGATGAATAGACAAGAAGTAGGTAGGTGGGTGGGTGGATGATAAAAAAAATGAGATGGATGGAGAGATAGAAGACAGATGAAATGGATAGCTGTGAGACAGATGATTAGAGAGATGACAGACCTAGGGAGAGAGAAAGAGATTAGATAGGGAAGTAGAAAGATATAGACGATAGAAAAGTGGATGAGTGAGTTTACTGATAACAGAGACCGGACTAGTTGAGTGACAGCCCAGCCCACAGCTACAGTAGTTAGGGAAGGTTGAATCCGTGAGACATCCCTTCATTTTCTTTTTTAAATAATTACTTCAAAGATAACCCATATAAGGTGTCTCCTCCTTCATCCTCTTCATCATCTCCTCTTCCTTTTCCTTCCCTCCCTCCCTCCTTCCCGATTCACTTAAAAGAGTTGACCGTTCTTTTGTTTTTTAACGCGAGTCCCCACAGTCTGGGAAACAAAAATAATTCCATCCACCGCCATTCATCACGTTGCTCCAGCCGGCGCTACTCCATCCATCACAGCCCCGCGGGGGCAGCAAGAGCCATTACTTTTAATAGGTGCCTCCAAATGCTTTCGCGACACACACCGTGGGACCCTGCCCTCCGTTTCCTCCAGTGGGAGGAGAAAAGTTTTCAGCAAGTCAAGGAAAGGAGTCAAACCGTCACATGCCTTTTTTTGTGTGTGTTTCAGGGTCCTTTTTTTTTCTGATTTTGTGTGCTTTTATTGATTAGGTCGAAACAACCAGTGAAGGAGGAAGAAAAACGGACAGAACTGGAGATATCTTGAAAGTACTTCACATGTTCCTAGTTTAACAACAGAGTTGGAAGGGACCTTGGAGGTCTTCTAGTCCAACCCACTGCTCGAGCAGGAGATCTTATACTATTCCAGGCAAACGGTTGTCTAATCTCTTCTTGAAGAGATAAGAGATAAGCCCATCCACTGATTAATCCTTCTCACTGTCAGGAAATTTCTCGTTCGTTTGTTCTGGGTTGCTTCTAAATCCCTCCTGTTACTTTCTTGTCCCGCCCTTCGGTGCTTTGGAGAATAAGTCAACGCTTTCTTCTCTTCCCCTTCCAATATTGGGAATAATAGAATCTAAGGAAGGGACCTTAGAGGTCCTCTTAGAGGGGGCAGAAGTCCCCCCATAAAACTCTGGACCAACGGCTGGACCTCTCCTCAATGTTCTTCCACGTCTTCCTTCTTCTCCTGCCCTCGGAGGCTTCGGCAGGCAGGTTGACCCCCTTCCTCCAAAACCCCTGTTCCCCCCCCCCCCCCCGCTCTCCCCGTCTCCCCCCCCCCCCCCCCCCACCCTTCGGCTCCAAGCATGGCCATGCACGGGCCCCCCCCCCCCTCTTACCTGCCCAATGCTGGACACGGGCTTAATTTTA